TTTGTTACAGTATGCGTGACATAAATTATAGATAAATGCGCAGAAATGCACTTTAAAGCCAGCGACACACGATTGCTTTTTTTTCTAGTTTTTGCTAGTTTGTTAGCTGGATTCGCGTGCTTGTTGAACTCTTGTCTTCAATTGGTATATTTTTTTAGATCCAAAAGAATACACAAATCAGAGACAAGAGCTCACGAGCCCGCACGCAAATCCAGCTAGCAAATCAGCAGGAAAAAAAGCATCGTGTGCCGCTGGCTTAAGGAATCCAACTAATTATGTATATACATACGCATATGATGTAGGCATGAAATGTAAAGTAAAATTTGAATTTGACGTTGTGTGCGAAACACTTTGCGCGGCAAAAAGGGTGAATCAAATTTTAACTATTGTCGAAAATGCAGTTTTATTCTACCCTCTTTAATTGAGGGTGAATGTTTACTGTGATATATGAATGAAATTTTCATTCCGCAGCATTTTCTATAACTACTTCTATAACTACTTCTATAACTACTGGACTACTTTATAACGTACTTTGAAACATATTCTTTTTGAGAAATGTTTTTAGTAGAATTATTCGTACAGTCATAGTCGTATGATATTTGACAATGATGGATAATAACAAAATAATTTCAAGACCGAAGGTTAGATTTTTTCAATTTTCTGATAATGTGCGAGATAAAGAAGAGATCGTTGAACAATGTGAAGAACAAACTGATCCACAAACAAACCGTCCAAGAATTAGAGAAATTCGATCTCTCGAGAAACCTGTCAGAATTGTAGATCCTACCAAATCCACAAGTGTTCTTGAAAAGAATATACCTTTGAATACTCATGATACTGATTCCTCACTAAGATTAGATTGTACTACAAATAAAAATATTCAAAATGCATCTCTACCCGAGAAAAGTACACCAGCAATTTTGCGTAATGTAAATGATATTCGAAATACAAAGAAAAATTGCAAAATATCGCAACTCGATAAGAGTTCTCAAGATGGTTTAAAAGATTGTACAAAGAATTTGCGACAGAAGGGAAAGGAGAACAAGGATACACTAATTAAAAAGATTACATCCAATAAAAATATAAGCAAGACGAAAACAGGAAACTCTCAACATGTACAATCACGAGAAAGATTTAAATCATCCACAAGTAATGATCGTATACAAAAGATAAATGTTGTAGACTTAAAAAAATCAAAAATAAAACCACAATCTGCCTTGAATATTATGAATAAAACAAAAAATCAAGTGACCGAAAGGAGAATTCTTAATGCAAAACCTATAACATCCAATGTTATGTCACGTTGTAAAACTGTTACAAAAAATAAAAAATGTCTCCAGTTAAGAAAACTGTATTGCGTAATGTATCAGGTCCTAAAATCAAAACATCTGTGGGACCAGGAATTTTTTGCAAAATGCAGGATGATAAAATTGTGAAAACAAAAGTAAATGAAGGACATACTGCTACATTGGATTCTCCTATGGATTTGGCACAACCAGAATATAATTCTATTATGTGTATTGTTGATAAGCTAAGAGAACTTGAGCAGCAAAAGATTGTTACAGATATCCATCATTTGCCATCTACACTAAAGAATTGTATCAATGGAAAGGTAAGTCTAAAATATACATACATATATATATATAAATATAGACACATATCACATGTATTTAGGAGGATTTCTGTCACAGATTTCAGCAGCACTTGATTTCCCATTAGATGAGGCAATTTATACAAATTTGGTAGATTTGAACATAGATGAGAAACAATTGCCATCTATCATTACACGAAGCAAGGATCCAGAACCACGGCAAAAAGATATGACACCAAAACTTTCTGATTTCTTTATACCCGAAGATACAAAGGAGATTTGTGAGGCTGTGCAAGTTAAACCTCGAGCGCCAAAAATTGATGAAAATTGGAATGCTTTCAAAATTAGTGATAGAATACTTGAATGGAAACATAGTATAGATGATATAGATTAGAATGAGTCTTCCTATATATTTTCTCTATAAAAAAAAATTGTCTAATTGCTAAACCAAGTTGCCATATGATGAAAGTATAAAATAATAAGTAGAAAAACGTGAAATAACAAATTGTCAGCTAGAAATATAAAATGTGATTATTTATTTCATATATATTTCAACATATAGAACAAAATAATTAGAGATGATTTTACTCTTATTTTTTACTACTTGTACTAAAAAATGAAATATTACATATGTGACACAATAAAGAATTGATTTTTAATCCTGGAATGAAATTTAACCCTGGAATGAAATTTTTATTGATTTTTCATCAGAATCAAATTCCGATGGCATTGATACTGAATTAATACCACAATACTTCTGTTGTAGATAGAGATAGATACGACGTAGATTGTAGTAAAGACATGTACCGGCCAGAATCATTCCGATTATAACTCCAGCTATGATCACCCTGTTAAGATTTAAATATTTAGATTGGCTTTAATGTTCTAAGTATAATGAATTATCCAAATTAAATATATTTACACAGTGATCCATATATCATAATCTTTGTAGCTGCAGCACACATTTTCATCGCAACAATACTCCCATGATTCACACAAGCCCCATACACAATAATGCGCAGTAGTCTGAAAGTATATGAGAAAAATATAAAATAGCCATTCATATGTTGTAATCAAGCTGCAGACAATTTACAGACATTACAAATTAAGATGTAATGAATATAAGCTTTGATGAATGTAAGTTTTACAGTACTAATTTTAGTACTAATTTTATTGACATCAACGTTGATAAACCATAATCATTGAATCATTATATCATTCTTTTCTTTATGAACATAACTTTTACAAACGTCATTGATGAGGCAAGAAAAAGTATGATATTCGAGAACATTAAAGTAATGATGTAGAAATAGAACACATAGAAATTACCGGAAAAATCATGAAACTCCAAATTAATACAAAAAGCTGTATACTGTTTGATAAACACTCCATTGTGTCTCATAATCCTAAACTCATCTAAATTTACATCGATTTGAACTCGAATTTAGGATCGATTATATATTTTGAAACGAGGTTTAAATTATAAAAGAAATTTACTAGAATATCTGCAACTTTATATATCGAAAGATAAATTTCCTCACTTTTGTAATTTTCATCTCGTTTTAAGATACAAATCAATTATTTTCCAACCGATATATTTGAATGTGTTCTAAAATTCAATGCTTAGATATTGAAAATCTATAGTTCATGTGACGTATATTATATATATCAGGCCATAAATTTTTGAACGCATTCTTTGACATAAATTATTTTTCATTTATTACGTCAGAGAGAAACCTGAAAGCAACTATCTCGATCTCTTTCGTGACATCATAGAAATCGCCGTAACTACCGCCATCAACGCCTATAAATTGAGCCCGTGGAACTATAAGTCACATCTATTTTATGACACTGCTGATAAAGGGTATATTCCGAACGATAGTTTGACTTATTTTTTTTCTAAATGTTGGCTACTATGTAACTAAACCGAGAAGTGTTTCGAACTCATCATAATCTGCAAAGATGTCGAAAATTCATTTGGAAATTCAAGATCGTAATAATAAAATATATAACTTTGTAATAACAAAAGATATTTATGATTTAGCTCATAATGGTAAGTATTATAATAATAGCTCATATTGGTAAGTATTATAATAATATTATTGTGGTAAAATTTTATAATTAATATTATAATTAATATTATTATATATTATATATTATATTAATATTATAATTAATATTTTTAAAACTTTCATACGCAGAAAAGTTTTTGATTAAGCAGGAACAGAAATATGCTAAATTAAGTTAAACTATTACTATTCAGAATAAACCCAAAATCATGTCTCGTGAAACAGATGTGATACGTATCCGTGCTACATCTATAAATGGGATGAAGAATACATGTGTAATTATATATATCTCTAATAATGAATTCAGTTCGCTATCCATTTTTTTTTATTAATGTTTATATAAATTTTGCACACTATAGAATATTCAAATTGTTGTGTTGGCCTTTGACAAATTTATATATACCACTTTGACAAATTTATACCACAGTACTGTGGTTATGACATGTACAATTTTTTTGAACCGCCATATTGTTGAATATGCACGAATGACAACTATTTCACAGATATTGAACAGAGTTAACCTACTGTATTGTATACTACGTCTACGTACGTATACTGTGATCTTGTCTTACCGAGAGGTATTTGATAGCACACAACGCTGTATAAAACTGCCGTGTAACTCGCTCGGGAGGCTATTCAAATGCGCGCGCGCAAGCGAGGGGAACACTGTCTCTCGGCCCGAGATTCACGGGAATCACGAGGAATCAGGAGGAAACGCGCGGGACCTGGCACTCCGCGAGTATTCCGTAGCCGGTCGCTCGATTTGATGGGAAAAAAAAAAAAAACAGAAATGATAATGAGAAGGGGGAAAGAAGAAGGAAAGAAACAGAAAAGATAATGGATGATGTAACAACGACAGCCGAGCGAAAAGGATCAGAAAAGGATCGGTCGTCGATTCGACCTCATGAATTCTAGAGATCAGAGAGAAGCCTGAAGGTCATATCAAACTAGCGGTTACTCTTGCCGTTAGTCTGATATAGCCTTGAGAGAGGCCATCCTGGCCTTTTTCGTGGGAAACGTCAAACTCTCCTGTACACTGTCGCTAGGACGCCCATTTTTTTATACTGGTTTTAGTACTACGTAGCCACATTCATTTTCCGATACTACCGATAAAATCATATTTTAGTCCAAGAAATTATTAAAAATTATTATGAAAATATAAACATTATAAAAAAATATTAAAAATGATAAATATTTAGTTTAGGTTCCCTTCTTCTCCGATTTTGATAAAAATAGTTCATTCGACGCGTTTTTACACAAAACGAAAGAATCTGGCAGAAAAAAAGCGTCGCTCTGCCTCGCGAACCGGAATCCTGTCATACTAATGAAAAATATCCACATATGCATGCGTTCAGTCGCTCCGCGCAATAATAGAGCGATTTTTTAAATTCTTGTAAAATTGTATAATTATAAATTTTATTTTAAAACAAGATCTATAATTGTTTGATTCCTAAAAGGAAGCCAACTATATTTTCATAATAAAGTACGCTCGGATTTTCCACTCGATATCCTTATGTGTCATTTTATCTTTGGTGTTCACCGAATGTTAAACAAGGATAAAATGGTATATCAAAGTACTCGGGTGGGGAATCCGAACGCATCTTTGTGTACAGAAACCATTAACTGCGTTCAGCAGAGAAAGTAGATCAGTGAGCGTTCAGTGATTCTTTAATATGATTGGTTCTTGTCTTTAGATCTTCGTTAAATTTAAGGCCGGTATTCGTAGTCAGTTTTCTATATTTAAGATCGTCTTAAGATAATATTTCAATCAATAGGATAACTGTATGAGCTTACTTAAGATAATCTTAAATATAAGAACGCACTGTGAATACCACCTTAAGCGTAGAAACCAATCATAATAAAGAATCACTAAACACTCACTGATCTGCTTTCTTTCTCGAACGCAGCCATTGACAGTCGGTAACAGTTGATAAGTTTGCAAGTCTGAAATGGTCTACTACGCGGGCAACATTAAATAGTTTCGTGCTGGATGCAAGTTGCTGCGAGGTAGCACATAATTTTCTCTCAGATGTTCGAGAGTGATGATTGGATTTTTGACGTGAGTTTTTTAATTGTACGATCTTCTTAGAACTTATCTGATTAATTTACTTAGCGTGTCTTTTCGTACATTGTAACTTTGTCCATGCGCGACAGACAATAGAATGTCTTACACAATGTTTCGTAAACTGATATGTGTATTCTTCGTACTATTCCAGGATGTTTTTGACGATGTGGAAGAAGAAACGAAAACGAAATCCCACCTTCCATGTCAAAATAAAGAAAACACACCGATTGTCAAACGACGTAAACTGGACAATTGTGAGGCTTCATTATCGTCGACGGACGATACTTTTGTTCAAAAGTTATTATCGGATGCTCCAGTTAATATCGTGGATAAAAATACAGCAAAAATGTCTTCCAACAATAGAAACGATTTGTCACAAAGAAATTTGTTAAAAATTTTCCAAAAAAATATCTCTCAAAAGATATTTGACTCTGCAAAAGAGATAAACAAAGATTCAACAGATATACAAAGAGAATCACGAGAGAGTTTTGAGTCCAAGATGAATGCGATATCAAAAGTAATCCAATCTAAAGAATCTAAAAAAAAGAATCATAAATCTGTCACTGATGTAAGAATTGATAAAGAAATAAAATTGATTCGAATATTTCCTGGACCAGCTGGCTTGATACCAGACAGGAAAAATGTTGATATCTCTGATGGATCTTATCTAAATAGTGTTAAAGAATTTGAAAATGAAACAGTAATCAAATGTGTTGAGATGAAGTCTCAAGATGAGAAGAATGTGTTTGAAGAAAAGACTTGGAAACTTTTACTGAATGATTTGCCCAATAATTTTTTGCAGGATTATAGGATTTCCACTGTTAAAAATAGAGCAAATGCTAGTCATTGTGATGTTATGAAAGTGAAATTTGTAGCTGGTATATTGGATTACGTAGATCATAGTTATGACGATCCATTTGTTATATTAAAAGACTCGACAGACAGCATAGAAGGGACTATTCATCGTAACATTGTGTCAACTTATCCTGGTATATTAGAGCCAAACATAGTTATTTTTTTACGTGATGTAGGATTATTAAAAATTACAACAAATGTAGTAACAAATAAATATCATATTTTGATATCTCTAGTTAATTTACTAGCTATATATTCAGATAAAGGTCGGATTATAAGTACATCTTTTATGGATGATATTTCATCTTGTAGTTCAAGTGTCGAATCAAATAGAGACGGTTGTAAGCCAGTTTCAAAACTAATTTATGTATCTGAATTGTCAAAGATTGATGAAAATCATGATTTATCTCTGCAAACTAGTTCCTCCATGAATCAATGTACTTCTATCGCCAATCATAAATCTCACATGGCAAATGATTCGCTATCACATCTGACGAATGAAAAATATCAAAGTAGGCAAAAGAATGATGAAGGTTGCAAAATTATGGATGAAAAGGTGTTCGAACGTTTCGATTATTCGATGGACGCAAACAACTTGGATATTGATGATGATTTCTTTATTACCGACTGTGACTTTTTAGAAGAACAGAACTATCCTGATCATTCGTTATCCAAAACTATTTCTCAAGCTAACAAGACCGAGCGATGCGACTTGCAAATGCAAAATAAATGTTTAGAAGAAAGAAATACAAAAGAAGAATTGGCAATAGAAAAAAAGAAAAAAGAGCAAAATTCACTACAGACTTTACAGAAATGTGTTACAAATGTGAAAACTCTCAGGGACCATCACGCGCATGAAAATTGTCTTTCATCTGATGATATTATGATACATGAAATTTCAAATTTAAACATGAAATCTACTGTGTCAGCAATAAAAGCTAATGTCAAAAATTCAAAAACTTTGGTAAGTTATTTTACCAACGATAAATATGACTCAGACGATGAAATTTTGTCACAATTGGACGTAGATACAAGTAACAACTTTGAAACCTAAGGAAAAATGCTAAGAAGAAGTATATTTTCATCAATATATCGATATAAAAACGTATCGTGTGTTGCATGTCGTGTGTCACGCCTAATTAAATTTGAATGCACGGTACATCGACACAACTTGTAATAAAGAGTAAATCTCAATGTATAAATGATGTATAAACATATTACATGAATAATGCCTAAGATAAAGTCGAATTAACTGTTGTTAAAATAGAATGTATTATAATGTTATAATGTACACGTAAGTACGCGCGCGCAAAAGAAAATATTTATACGTCTACTCCAGAATTATTGCAGATAAAGAACTGTTTGTCAGATTTATATTTTGTCACTTTATCTTTTAATTTATAAGATTATTCATTTAAGGTCATTTCATAAAGTTAAGCACACGTTAGCTTTCGATAACAAGATATTATATGTTCAATCAGTAGAAGGAAAAATGTGAATTATTTCTATTATGTATTACAACTTTACAATGCGCATTGCATATACGTGATATATATGTGTGTGTGTGTATATATATATATATATATATATATATATATATATATATATATATGTCCAAGTTTTTATCGAAAGTGTGTGACAAAGCGCATAGCTATGATCGTGTAATGCGATAGATATGCGGTACGTTATAACTAGACGGATATTGTATTGTAACTGAAATATTCGTGAAAAACTAAAATATTCGTAGCTACGACATACCTCGGCTAACAAAAACTTGATAAAACGAAATTTCTCTATCTAATTCGTATCTGTTTGATTGCAAACTACATAACCGACCTGTATGTCGCCGCGCTCTTTAATCTCTATAGTCATTTTATAACTCGGACAAATTATGATTCATAATACTCTTCACCGGATTATCGGACGGATACATCTCAAGGTCGATCTAATGGATATGCATTGATATATATATGCCAACTATATCAATCTCGTTAATGCTTTTCTCTTTTTTTAATTTTTATCAAACTCGATAGATTTCTAATCGGTATCGGAGAAGAGAGGTGATTACATAGAAATACGAGGCGTTGGAAACAATAAACGATAAACTTGTAACTAGAATTTAAGTAGATGAATTTAAGTAGATTCATCGTTATCATCCTTATGCGTTTTGTTATCTACGCAAACGTGTACGGGACCGTATGCGGTTATAAATAGTATTTGCCGTGTTTATTTTAATAAAGAGACAATCGAGTTTACCGTACCGAAAAAAATATACGAAGGAGAGGGGGACTACAGATGACAAAATATGGGATAAGGAGATCGTAGCATCTGGATTAAAAGTTATTGTTTTGCACGGCATTTGCCTTTCGTTTTATCAAAATTAATCTCGTGATTCCGCATATACATATTTATTCCTTTTCGCAACGACGCGCACGACGTCAATGTCAAAATTTCTACATCTTTTTACATCTTTTATATCTTTTTACATCTTTTTACATCTTTTTTGCTCGATATTCAACGATATTGAATGAAAGTTCCATGAATGACAAAGATTCAACAGAACGTTGAATCTTTCCAGTGCCATGTTCAATTTTAATATTTCTATGAACGATTCCATCTAAATCAAGATGGAAATATTCATTGTCACTACCTGTGCGTGTGTACCCATGTTGTTCACACTCGTTTTAAGAGCGTGAGCTGAAGACGATAAAAAAGATGTAAAAACCAACGACAATTACATTGTTACGTGTATTTACGTAACGAAATTATTGGCGATTTCCTTGCGACGACATTCGTGCGACAGCGCATATATATGTGCTTATCTTTATTCGTAAATTGAAAAGGTCTGTTTTCTATGATTGTACCGATATACATTTATTATACTTAAAACGAAATAGATGTATGTTTGAAGTTTACGATAAAAGCGAGAAAAGAAATTTTAGAAATAGGAAACAAACTTAAAGTTACTTGATATTCGTAGCTTTAGATTTTTGCGCGCGCGCGTTTTCTATGTGTGCGTCCTTATCTTTTTTTCGCATGGACTTTTTCTCTTGTTAAACAAATTGTCATCAAATGAACTTGATATCACAGCGATGTTTCGCTAATGACAGACAAAATTAAAGAAAGAGAGAAAAAGAATATCTTGCGATTCTCTTAATCATTCTCTTTTTCTTTTCTTTTACTAATGAGAGAGAGAGAGAGAGAGAGAGACCATATGGCCTTAAATATTTTCCTCTCTTTCCATATATTATTCGTTTTATGCTCGATCTAATTACGTCACGTTTATAACTATAGTTAATAATAGTGTTTAAGTCATTTCCTTATATACAGATGTAAATTACTCCATCTCGTGTATTCATTTTCCAATTTTGCACTTAAGACCGAGAATCTTTCAAATCTTCTGAATTTACGTAAATTATTATTATTATTATTATTATTATTATTACAATTAGATTGGAATTAAAATGCTGCGTTCCCGAACACAGAGACAGTCACCTGAAGATTATCATTCCGTTATGTTCGTAATTTTCAAATGATTTTTACCGCTATACTGTTATCTAAATACAAACTAATCGCAGCGAGATAATGCACGCGCGTAACAATTAACGCGAAAAATACCGGCGCGTTCGGCCCCATCTCGCGAATAAGCAATTCG